GCTGAATGCCAGCCTTAAAGATGTAAAAAGACATTCCATTCCACCTGGAAGAAAACCTTTTGTTCCAGGATTCAACAGAGTACAAGCCTGTCTGAAAGTGTTAATACTTTTTCCTGGGACAATGCTGTGTAGTCTGTAAACCAATCTCTGCTTATTCAAGTTAACTGACATCTATTCCAGAGACAAGCCTATCAGAGGGCAAGGACGCAATTTGGAAAGGCTATATGTGTAAAGGGCTATCCCACTCTCCTTTACTCTTGGTTTTGATTTGGATTAGTCCTTAGATTTCTAAACAATGAAGCTGTCAGCAGGTGTAGAGAGGTGACTTTACCTTAAAATATTCAGTAGTGAGACTGATACTGAAATATGTTTAAGCATTTCCACAAGGAGAAAATACCAGATTCAAACGGACTACTTAATATGGACAAGAATGACTAGCTTGAAGACATACCTAGACAAACTCAAATTAGAAGTGGGGATCTTTTTTTTTTTTTTTAAATTGGGGTCTTGATTAACTATTGGAACAAATGACCAATGGAACGAGAGAACTTTGTTTCATTTGATGTCTTCAAATCAAGGCTTATATGCCTTGATGAAAGTTTTCTTAATCTAATGCAAGTTATCGGGCTCTAAGCAGGTGTTACTGGATGAAGCATAATAGCCTGTGATACACAGTGTGTACTATCACCCCCTCTCCCTTGGGTATATAATATCTTGACTAATGCATGCAGAGTCCTGAAGAATGACTGAAACACTCCTCAAAAGGGCAAGACCTCAGGATTCTGGCTCACATAAAGGGGCCAGGGAGATGGGCTCAGACCATCCTGGGGAAGACATACCTCCAGATCCTGGATCACAGAGGGAGTCCATGTCTTCTCAAAGGTTGAGGTTTGCTTCTTCTCATTCTACTCTTTGTATGAGGTACATCATCTTGTAGCCCTGTCTGTCACTCCAAGCAATGGTGCTGTGGATAGCAGACATTCCTTCTCACTATCTAGCTCATCCAGTAAAAGAGGAGAAAGGGAGGAGGAAGCACTGTGGCTTCAAGTGGGAGGGGATCATGTAGGACTGATTGGCCCCCTTCCCCTAATTCCTCCCCGCCATCCACTCCCATGTCACTCTTCCTAGCTACCACCCTTCCATCTCACTGCACTGAATCCCCATATTTCCTTGCTCCCCCAAATCTACCACCAAGCCCTCTCACCCCTTTTAATCCTCATTTGACAACCATCCTTATTTAAGCCTTTCCTATTACTTTCTTTCCTCCCTGCACCTTTGCAACCCACACTCTCCACACTCACTACACTCTTCCCCCAGAATTATAAGAAACTCTAAGGAGCAGCTAATTTTAATAGGAATGAGTAGTAGGAACCCTTGGACTAAATGACCCAGTTGCTTGCTTTTCTTTGATCCCATTAAGTCCAACGTTTTGGAATATGTAATTATATTATCCTAAATGCTTACTAGTCACTCTTTAAACAACTGTTATTTGTTTATAATACTTCAAAAGTAATATCTAAATCTGTACGTGGATTTTAGAGCATTTTAAAATAGCACTCAAGCCAGAGACTTCAGTCTCAAGAACAAAATGTCCAAAAGTGCTTTGCAGTATACAGACAGAAGAATAAGAAACATGCACAACAGACAGTCAAGAGTTGCTCTCAAACTTTCAAAACATAGGTCAGATTCAGGGTCAAGGACTACAGTATGTAACTTTGAGTTATCCAGTTACTATGAAACAAGACTGCCTAAAAGTTACTTAGTTTCAGTTCTTGGGGGCAGGAGTGCAGCCCACCTTATCCCCACACACAGCTCTTGTGCACTCTGGGAGCTGTAATCCAGTGCTTTTTAACCAGTGTGCTGCAAATTGCTCCCTCGTATGCAGCAAGAATTTTGGAATAATGAAAAGAAAGTTCTCCAGACTCCTACCGATAATGAATAAGCTGTGTTGATGCGATATTCACAGAAAACTTGTGCATGTGTTGGCTGTGGGGGAGAGAAAGAACCAGCCGAGAAGAAAGAAATTCATGTACTGTGCATGTGTTGGCTTTGAGGGATGCACAATTTGCGAGCCTCTGAACAGCTGCGCTGCAGAATTTTACCATGGTAATGAACTACAATGAGTTTATGAGTGTGGGGGAGGGGAATGCCTTAATAGGTGTGCCACAGAAAAACTGTATTAATCTAAGTGTGCCTTGGGCTGGAAAAGGTTGGGAAACACCTCTGTAGTCCACAGGGCCATGCAACGCAGCAGCCAGACTCGGCTTCTTAGGAGCCCCTGTGGCGGCAGCGGTTCTTTTAGGCTGCCACTGCCAGTGTCTCCACTGCTGCATCTGGCCCCGATTCCCAGGCACCCCAGACCATCTACCCTGCACCTTCAGCTACAGGCACCGGACAGAGCGGGCAGGCAGGTGGGCAGGGTCTCTCTCCATGGAGACTAGCCCAGGACACCTGCAGGTAGGACATGTTCACTTGGGTGAATGTGATGGAGCCATAGGCAGACAGGGAGCGGTATCCAGGAGCAGGGCAGGTGGGACTGAGGCCAGGATCACGGGAAGTGACAACTTGGGGTGGGGTCTGGGGCAGAGCCATGATCCACTCCCCACATGTCCCTGCAACATAAATATGACATCAGGGATAACAGGGAAATAAAACTGAAGCAACTGAGAGAGGAACGTTTTCTCTTCACGTAATGTAACATTCTAGAATTTGGCTGTTCATGTTTATAGCTAATTAATGCCTCATCAGAACAATGGGACATGGGCCTGCAGGCCCCCCACTTCGCTTCTCACCAGATGATAATGGCCACCAGCTTCATGATGGCTTCATTGAGGCAGTTGAAGAACTCCTGCAGGGCCCGTCCCTTCTGTTTCATGCCGCCGATTACTAAACCAAAACACACAGAGAATACGACCAGTCCCAGTGCGTTCACCCCATTTGCTGAGCCAGGGACAGGAATGATCTCCTCAAAGGTCAGCACCTCCTGGATGCTCCCGAGTGCATGTGTGACATTCTCCAGGATGCCAGTGACATTCTCAGGCACAGAGATCTGAGTGGTGGTGGCATCTGCTGTGGCGGTGCTGTTGTGGAGGACGGTTCTGGTGACGACCCTGGTGTTGTACTGGGTCTTGTACTGAAATGATACATATTATTAGCTGCAACATAAATCTGGACATCTCCATAGCTCCTCCCAATTAAACCCCAAAAAAGCAGTCCCCTGAAATCATTTTATTTGAATGGGCTCAGCTTACCAAACAATACAGTTCATTCTGTATGAGAAGTTCAACTCTGCATGGGATTGTATCCTCTTTTAGTGGCCTAGTCAAGTGACCCTAGAAGTATGCTATTTATACTGGCAATGGAGTCAACCCTGAAGCTCAACTCAAGGTGCCTGACAGTATACTGTGGACCATTTATACTACTCCCACAATTACAGACACTGAAAAGTTGCAAAGCAGCTCTGGAAGAATTCCCTTTATTTGCAGGCAGTGAAGATCTGACATCTATGGCACCATACTGCTTCCACTTAGGCCCCTGGAGAGATGCAAGCTGCAGGCAGGAAAAGGACTGCCCAAAGCAATCCTTGATTTGGCAGTTCTGAGTTGTCTACAGACAAGTTGGAAAGGCTGTCTGCAGGTTACTCTGTTTTAAACAAGCATCTACAGTAGCCTCCAAAGCAGACTCTGGGAAATACAAAGGTGGCAATGAAACCACCCTTGTTCTTGGGCCTCCAAAGAGGCAACTCAGACAGCCTGTTCTGCATAGGCATAAAGAATAAGAATGCTGGGCAGGAGAAAGCAAGCCAGGCAAACTGGCATCCATACCTGTTTGAAGCAGGCTTCCACTAGATTAGGTGGGAACATATTCCTGCAGCAGACAAAGCAAAAGAGAGTTATGATCCTGTTTGGCTTGAAATCAGGTTAGCAGGCTTATTGCCTAACAGTCATAGTATTAAATGCTGCCTCCCTTCAGGACACTTAGGCTTACTCAAAAGCCAGATCAATCTGCTGTGGCACAGAAGTCTCTTCCTTCCTGAGTGAATTACCTAAAAGAAAACAGTGATGTCCTGATCTTAGACCATCTTTACACTAAAAACGCTGCAGGATCAGAGTTCCTTCCCCAGTCTCATGAGCCATGAATGATCATTCCCTGGTTAGAGATCTCTGTTCTTGCTTTTACTCCAATATACCCAGCACAAGTACCAATTATGTTGGAGGGCCAAACTGTGTCTCCTTCTTGGAGGGTCCTAGATGCAGCATATTAGTGGGAGACAAAGGCTACAGGATCTGGTAGTCAGTGCTCTGTCACTGAGCCCTGCTCTTACACAGACTGTACTTCCCCACTGATTCAAAGTATACCCCATGGTCCAGAGACATAAGAAATAGAAGGCATTGACATACATAACACTCAGAGTGAGTTAAATGTGGTTTAAATCTGAAGCAGACAGACATGCAAGCCTGTTACATCCGTTTAAAGCTACCTAGAATGATTCAAAAGTGTACCTGGAAAACTCAGTATTATTTTGAACTGGTTCACTGTGAACTGGTTTAGTCTCATGTCTGGACCCCAAGTGTTCCTGGTTAGTCCTTCAGGCTCCACACTCCTTCTCTTCACTCCCCACCCCTGGCTTTGGTACGAAGGCAAAATTCTATTGTCCTCCCCTCCCCTCTTTTTCCCCCATTTTTTGGCACTTTTTATCAATAAGCCACCTTGCACTATTTCCTCAATTAAAAAAAAAAAGTGTCTTCACTCCCTACTCAACTGCAGCCCCTAATCATGCCTCCCTGGTTCCTGAAAACCTAAAGGCCTGGATCCAAGCACTTCCCCTCCAAGTCAGATAAGGACACTGCAGACTTTGGCCAACTGCAGGCTAATGAATTTTATTTAACTCGTATGTTTTAAAAGAGAAGGGAAAGCAGAAAAGTGAAAACGCCCCCAGCCATAGGTCATCCAGCCCCTTGAGCCACCAAAGCATGGGTGTGAGCACTCCTACCCTCTGGTGTACTGAACTGTGAACTGGTTCTGGTCATTGACATTTTGGAACAGTTTAATTGTTATGTGTGTCCACATCCAGAAATGGGCTATCAGATCAGTGACAGGCCAGGGCTGCTGCCACTGTGCAGCTCCCAGCCTTTTTTTTGATGAGACAAATGTGTCTTCATCATTTTGCTAAAGAGATTGTGGCAAGCTTTGCTGGCAAGCTCTGGCAGATAGAGGAAAAACTTGAAAGGAGGCTCAATGCCATTTGCATTGCATTTGCTACTCCTGTAATCTGGGAGGCAGCTCAGGGGCCCCCTGCACCCCTAGGAGGGTTGCAGGGCTCTGGCAACTTCTCCCAGAGGTGCCAGGGGCCCACAATTTGCCTGCCAGATCACAGGAGGCTGCTCCTGCCACCTGGGACAGTGCTGGGTGCAGCCCGCACCCAGTGCCAGGAAGATTGGTGCTGCTGCTGGCCCCACCTGGCACCAGCAGTCATCCAGCAGGCAAATTGGCGGCTCACTCGCATCCCCGGGAGGGCTGTGGGGGCTGTGCCGGACTGCTCCTGGGGGTGCGGGCTTCCGATCTGCCTGCCAGATGACAGGAGGCTGGTTCTGCCGCCTGGGGCCAGTGGCAGCCAGGGCCATCCCTGGAGGGGGAGGAAATCAGGGTGACCACCCCAGACCCCGCGCTTTGGGGGGCCCCGTGGTGCCAGGTGCACCAGAGCCAGTGGCGGCAGGATAGCGAGCAGCCGGATGTGAAGCCGGTGGTGGCACAGAGGCACCACAGCCCCCAAAGTGCGGGGCCCGGGGCGGTTGCCCCAATTCACCCCCCTCTAGGGACAGCCCTGGATGCTGTTGGCCCCAGGTGGCAGAACCAGCCTCCTGTGATCCGGCAGGCAGATCAGGGGCCCGCACCCCTGGTAGCAGTCTGGCATAGCCCCCGCAGCCCTCCCCAGGGGTGCGGGCGGGCCCCCGATCTTGCCAGCTGGGACCGGCACTGAAGCCAAGTAAGCCTGGCTTGGAAACTCAACACGTTTTGAAACGTTTTGAGTGCCCTTGTTTCATTTCAAAGCTGTTTCAAAGGCCTTTGTTTCATTTCGATTTCACTGTTTTGAGCTCAAAATGCATCAAAACAGATTTGAAATGAAACACCAGGCAAAATTTTGCACAGCCCTACTAAGCACCTGCAGTGCTGGGCTTCTTCCTGCAGTACTTGTGGGGCTCTAGCACCATGGATCTTGCCCAGGTGCTTGGCTGCCACTGGGGAGCCTTGATAAGGTCCCTTATCAAGGCTGTGGGATGGATGACCCAGCTATATGAGTTGGATTCAGTCCATAGGATGTATGTTTGACACCCCTGTTTTACAGCTACAGAATGAATATTCAGAATGGTTTTCAGGCAGGAAGGTCAGCTTATCACAAGGCATGCTCTTACCCCAAACCAGCTTGTACTCTTACCTTACCAGGTCCATGAAGGCATCAGTTGTTTGCACCTGCTCAATTTTGCCCTCCCGATGGAGTTTGTCCTTGCTTCCTTTGCCTGGATGGATGATGATCACCATAAGTATGCCAATGAAGACTGCTATGATGGTGGTCACCATGTAGTAAATTACAGCCCGCATTCCCATTTTTCCTGAAGCTTTACCATCCAGTGAGGCCATACCTGGGATATGAAAAACAAGGCAAGAGTGTCTAGTTCGTTAAATTACACATGGGGAGTATGGGGGAGCTGGAAGCAGACTCTGAGGAGTGAAGAAGAATGTGGAGTGCAAGAGGCAGATGTTGAGATATGAAGGGGGATGTGAAATGGGGGAGAAGGCTTATGTAGTACAGGCACCCAGGAAGGAGAACGAGGCTGAGGAGGAATCAGGGAGATGGTTTACATGAGAGGCAGACTAGAAAGGAATGTGAGAGACTGGGAGACAGATTTTGTGGGACGTAAGGGAATGTGAGGTGCGAGAGGCAACTTTGGAGATACAGAAAGATATAGGAGCATAACAATGGTTGCAAAAGAATGTAGAGAAAAAAGGGGTGGAGAATGGAATGCAAGATGCAGAAAAGAGACTTTGTACAGTAAAAGAGAAGTACAGGGAGAGTGTTGGAGTCAGACTGAAGAGGTGGAGGAGACAGTAGAAAGGAATAGGATGTGATAGAGGGGCACTGTAAAGGGTGGGATACTGAATAATGAAAGGGGAAAATGAAAGAGCGGATGAATATATGGAAGTGGCGAACGTCTTTTCACATTTTGAACCTATAACCCCCATGTCACTCCTACCCTTTTCTTTCTTAGTTGTCATGCCCCTCCGGCAAACCTCTTTGCATGTTTTGACCCTTTGAACCACACACCACTCCCATCCTGGTTTTTTTTCCATTAGTTCTCCCAATTATTCTGTTGTATCATCCATCCATTGGCCCCTACAATAGGGGCTATTAGTTAGCCATGTGGACCTCAGGGCCCACAACAGGGGCAATGCGTAGGGGGTGCATGCAGGTGCATGTGCAGCCCCTGCAAAAAGGTGCCGTCGACACTGTCAGTGGTGCCTGCATGCAGTCACCACTCATCACCCCGCCGCCGGCACTGCCGCTGGCGTCTACAGGCAGTCCATGATCGCCCCTGGCTGCTGCCACCACCTCTGGCGGCACCTGCGGGTGGTCGCCGACCCATGGTCGGCCCTCGCCATCCCCCACCGACAATGCCAGCGGTGTCTGCAGGAGCTCCCCACTCACTGCCGCCACTCCTGCCACCGCCGGCGCAGCCATGCCCCACCAGCCGCTGGGGACACATGCCATTCACGACCCATGATAATTGGGTTGTGCAAATAGTCAGGAGCTTTTAGGGCCCGGCCAATTGGTATCTGAGGACACTACCCCTTGTGCCAGCTGGATGGGTGAAGCAGCCCTAACTGAGAATTCCCTGAACCCTCTACCCACTGCAGCAGTCTGGTAGTGGGGGCTGCTGCTTGGATAGGACGTGCTGCCACCTGCGACAGCACGTGGCCCCAAAGCTGCACCCCTGCCAGACACGGACAGGGACTGCATGGCTGCAGCAGAAGCATCTGAAGCTCTGGGCCAGTTGCCAGTGGGCTGTGGCTGCACAGTTGGCCTTTGTGCAGCACTGTTGCCATCTGTGCCTGTGCCCTGCCACCTGGGCACCTATCTCCTGGAAGATGTTCTCAGTGTGGTGGCCTGCTTTGAACTGTCAAAGCATGTCCTCCTGGCTCCAAATGGTCAAGAGGTCAGCCACCTAATTTGCCCTCCAGCTCGGCCCTGGGTGCCAGTCCTGAGCAGGGTCCTCTGCTTGGGTCCTGCCACTTGCCTCACTAACAGGAATCCTGGTGTTCCCTATTTAAAAACTGCAAATTCTCTGATAAAAAATCCCAAATTCACTCTTTAAAATGCCCCCAAATCCATGTTCTTGCACAATTAAAACAAAAGACAGATAGACAGATAGACAGATATCTGAGAGACAGAGAGAGATCAGTTGGGCAATGTTTTTATTGATATATGTACAATTTTAAAGCAATTTGGAAGCCTACCAGTGTCTCTATCATCATAATAAAGACAATTCTAACTATCTATATGCTTTGATGTTTGCTTTTGGCTTTCTTATCATAGAAAAATTAGAGCTCCCCCTGACCCCTTCACTAACCCGGGTGTGGGAACCCACAGCTCCTGCCAGCAGGTCTCATCCTATCTGGCAGCTGGGAACATTGGGTATGTGATGCGGGGATGTGAAGTTTCCGGGAAGAGGTGTGGGTGGGTGTGGGTGGATGTGGGTGTGGTGTGGGGTGTGTAGGTGGTATTGGGCTTGCAAGAGAGGGGTGAGAGGGTGTGTGGGTGGGTGCAGGGGTGGTGTGGGGTTTGCAGGATGGGGGTGGTGTGGGGTTTGCAGGAAGTGGATGGGGGGATGTGGGGTGTGTGGGGGGAGCTGCCACCCCCTGCAGTGCCAACCAGGCTGTGCTGGTAGCAGTGCTTCCGGACCCGTGGTCTGTGCAGGGAGAACAGGCCCAGTCCGCTAGTGCGCCTTGGGACAGGACCAGGATGTGGGGCTCTGGGATGCACGGCTGCCATCCAAAATCATGCGCTAGCTGGGCAGGCTGGGCCGGGTCACGTTGGGTCTGTTCTCCATAAGGGTCAGGTGGCAATGCACCATGGCCTGCTGTAGGCACAGCTGTTCGGCCATGCATTGACGCTGACCCTCATGGAGAACGGGCCCAATGCAACCCGGCCTGGCCCGGCCAGCTAGCGTGCACCTTTGGATAGGAGCTTCGCGTCCCGGAGCCCTACGTCCTGGTCCTGTCCCAAGCCATGCTAGCGGGCTGGGCTGGGTCAGGTTGGGTCAGGTCCAACTGGGCTTGTTCTCCCTGCACAGACTGCGGGTGTGGCAGTGCTGCCACCGGCATGGCCTGGCTGATGCCGCAGGGGGAGGGGGGCGGGCATGTAGCGGTCCCCCCACAAACCCCACATTCCCCAACATACCCCCATCACACATCCCACATACCCCCAAAGAAATCACACAGGTCCCTCACCCCCAGTCCCTGCTTACCTGGGACAGCTCCCAGGGCTGGGTCCTGCTGCAGCCTTGCCCTGCTTCTGTTTATCCCACATGAGAAGGGTGTGTGCTGGAGCAAACTCCTGCAGCTGGGAGTCCCCTCAGGTGAGGGGCTCTCAGCTGTGGGGTGCCCCATTCAATCCTGGGGGCCAAGGGATCATGGCTACCATGATCCCCCAGCTCTGGGGGCAGAGATGACCCAAGCAGGGTGCAGGGCCTGGGCCAAATCACCCCAGGGCAAATCGCCCCAATTTGCCCCCCTAAGGATGGCCCTGTCTGGGGGTTTCATGCACCCCTGGGGCAGCCATGCCCCCTGGTTGCTAGGACCCATGCCTGGCTGGGCATGGTGCACCCCTGTGGCTGGGAGCCTGTCAGCTGATGAGGCTTCCAGCTGCAGGGTCTCCCTGCTTCAGATGCAAATTAAAGCTTGACAACAACCAGCTATAAAGTTAGGACACATTTTTGAGGTAGCTGGTCTCATAGTAATTGTGTAATTAACCAGTTAATTGTGCCATACCTGTGATGTGTAAAGTGAACTGAAATGGCAGTTTTCTAGCCACATGTCTGTTTTTTGTCCTCCCTCAGCACTATAGATGCATAAGTGAGCATGCTTAGATCAAATATGCTCAGTCAGTTAGACATTGACTGTGCATATATGCATCTGAATACACAAATATATGAATGTAAGTCTGGAGAAGGGGAAGGGAGGAGAAGGGTCTTGCCATGTTTTAGCTCAGAGCTGAGTGGTTAGGGCACTTGTGGCTACACATGCACATATTTGAGTATAAGTCTGGGGAAAAAGAAAATTGCCCCATGTTTTGGTGTAAATAGCTGAGTGGTAAAGGCACTTACCCAGGAAATGGGAAACTCCGGTTCTAGCCCATTAGCCAGAGAGGAGCTGAGCCTGTATTACTCTGATATTCCAATACAATGCTCCAATCATTACACTGTGAGTTAAACAATAGCCAGGCTTAATCTGAAATGCCTCTTTGGAAGACAGCAATCAAGAGAGGGAGGTACGTGGAACCTAGAGAAAGGTTATGGACTAAAGTATATGTGGCTTATTAAGATGGAGGATGCCACAGAGAGGAAAAGACCCTGGATTCTAGTCTGGGTACTTGCTTCCAGTAAGGCAGAAACTTTCACATTCTCCTGCTTTCTATCCATGTTACCCAATGACTATTCAATAAAAGATGCAGTGGCCTGGCTTTAAAAGGAGTGCTGGAGGGTAGCTTGATACAGCCTGACCTGTTTACCACACACAGACATTCGAGTGCCATACTGAGAAATTAGCAAGATGCAGGTTCAAACCCCCTTGGGGTTGGAGGGGAAGAGGGAGGGTTCTAGAAGCTTAGTCTTCCACTTCCTCGGTAAGTGCCCTTCCTACTCAGCTATTTAAGCTACATCATGAGAGCCCCTACCCTCCTTCAGTGTTTAACAGCTGTTAGTGATGGGTTTCTTGCTGGCTATGTCTTTGGGACATATATGAATACACAGTGAGCATGTGCAAGTAACTGCACGTGTACCCAGCCAGTGTGCAGCCCGCTGCATATGCTCAGCATGTGTGCACGTGCTTACATGTCTATAGTGGCGGTAACAGAATTGCAACCTGTGTGTAGGTGCCAGAACTATCGCTTATGTGACTAGAAAGCTGACATTCAGACACACAAAGGGAAATAGAATTCTACACTGTTTGAATGCTGGAGTCGGCAGTACAGTACCATGATTCTTCTTTTTTACCCTTCACAGAAAGGTATAAGCCTTCCTGCTCTCCCCCGCCCAACATCAAGCCAACCAGGGACACAGAAGGATGTTCCTGCATGCTCCAACTTGGGCTTATCAATGTGAGTCAAACAAATGTGGGCACTAGCATCTGAGCACTATAATGACATTCTAGGCAATGTTGGCATCTGCTTGCACAGCATATTAACCATGGCATGATTTGTGCAGATGGAAAGATTCCTCACCCGTGACCAGGCTGGAGACAATGAGGGGAAGAACCAGCATTTGGAGCATCCGCATCAACAACTCTCCAGGGAAGGAAAAATACTTGATTTGGCGATAGGTCAGCTTGTAGGGTCGGAGAGCAAAGGCCAGAATGATCCCTGACAAAAAAAGGGACAAAAAGGGAAATATGAAAAGAATCTGTCTTCTAAAGCTAGTGCATCTTGCCTGTTGACAACAGTCATGCCAAGAAGGTCCTTCAACACTGCTCAATCCCATGCAATATGTATAGTGTCAGTGGTGGGGCCTTCCTAAAATCTTCTGCCACCTTGTTCAATGCTGACAAATGCAAGCTGCTACACTTTGGGAAGAATAATCAATAGGGATCTACATAAATCATGGAGGAGGTTTGAGGCACAGCAGCGCCTTTAATTTCACTCCTTTCACAGTACATCCCCCTTTCCCCACCACTAAATGGCTGAGGGGCAATTAATGCTAAGGTTTTGTCTCTTGGCCACTCAGAGGTGGGAGGGGGGGCATGTGGCGAAAAGAGCAAGATTAAAGGTGCCACTGCACTGTGAACTTCTGCCACAATTTAGGTAGGTCCCTAGTAATCAAAAACTGCTACAAGATGGGTGACAATTAGCTGGATGGCAGTAGGCCTGTACAAAGTGGCTAGTATTCACTTTGGATTTGGATTCAGCCAAGTCGGGGGGCAGTGATTCGATCTGGTGATTCAAATCACTGTCCTGAATCGATTTGGCTGCTGCCAAATCAGTTGAATCCCACAGGCCCCATCCCCCATCTGCTCTCAATGGCTGCCCGCCAACCCCCAGCTCCCAGCTTTTTGAAAAAAAAAAAGCCCCAAGTCATCAGCTCTTGCCAGGCCGGGGGCGGAGGGGGGGGGGCCAGGAGCAATCCCCTCTGCCCCCCACTACCCCACGCCACATGGGGGGGCTCTCCCACGAGCCCTGCTGACCCCCCCCACTCTCCCAGCCCCCCCTGCCCACCCCAGCTCCTGCCCTTTAAACACAAAACAAAACAGAAAAAGCCCTGACTCACTGTCTCCTGCCTGGCGGGGGTTGATCCCCGCTGCCCCACACTGCCCCAAGACTGCTGCAGAAGCTGGTGAGTCCAGGGGGTTTGGTTTGGTTTTTTTCCTTAAAGGGCCCAGAGCTGGGGCAGGCGAGGCAGCCATGGGGGGGCTGGGAGGGGGGT